CCATTTTTTGAAGGAACACAGGGTAGCAGCCATCACAATAGGAATGCCTCTCCCTTCCTCCCAGCAAAGACTCCATAGGATGCCGGACAGCAATGACTCCTCCTTTAGCTCAGTGGACTCTTCCAAAGCCAAGTATCACCGAGGAACTATTTCTCCAAGACATACTAAATCTGAATCTGGCAGGACCATTTTAGGGGGTAAGGGAATGCAGCTCAAACGCATCAGCCCCATTTTCTCATTCTCAACTCCACCTTGACTGAAACCCAGTCTTATCTTTAGCTGTAACAGAGCCTAAAAACCAAAGACCTGCATCCAGAAAAGTAGAAAGGCGTGACCTGTATAAAAAACACAGTTGAACAAATCTGCACAATTTATTTCTGCTCTCAGAAAGGCATGGGGGAGGGACCACGCACACTGCAGGGCAGGGAAGTCCTCCCCTGCCCCAGCCGCTGGAAACCCCAATTAACATCATAAGAACATAAGAGACGCCAATGCTGGATCAGGCCAAAGGCCCATCCCGTCCAACACTCTGTGTCACACAGTGGCCAGAAATACCAGTGCCATCAGGAGGTCCACCAGTGGGGCCAGGACTTTAGAAGCCCTCCCACTGTTGACCCCCCCCCCAAGCACCAAGAAGACAGAGCATCACTTGCCCCAGAGTCCCTATCTATACCTTGTGGCTAATAGCCACTGATGGACCTCTGCTCCATATGCTTATCTAATTCCCTTTTGAAGCCGTCCATGCTTGTAGCCGCCACCACTTCCTGTGGCAGTGAATTCCATGTGTTAATCACTCTTTGGGTGAAGAAGTACTTCCTTTTATCCGTTCTAACCCGACCACTCAGCAATTTCATGGAGTGCCCACGAGATCTTGTATTGTGAGAAAGGGAGAAAAGTACCTCTTTCTCTACCTGCTCTTTCCCATGCATAATCTTATAAACTTCAATCATGTCACCCCTCAGTCGTCTTTTCTCCAAGCTGAAGAGCCCTAAGCGCTTTAACCTTTCCTCATAGGGAAAGCGTTCCAACCCTTTTATCATTCGAGTTGCCCTTTTCTGCACATCCATGGTGCCTAAGAGTTTATGCAGTCTGGATCACATCTTCAAGTGACTGTTTGCTGCAATCAGGGCTAGAAACTTGCTTTAATAAAAACAAATGAAAGCCAAGATTCTCAGGATGTGGAATGCTGCAGCCAGCTCTTGTAGCCTTACACACTTGGCTTGCCTAAAATCATACATAAGTTTGTTGCTCAGGGTTGTGCCACCCCTTCTTTGGCCAGGGCTCTTGCCAAAACCAGAATCAAAACATCAGTTTGCTTCAAGATGGTCATACCATTCCAAGGAAGCACACCCACGGCATTTCACTTATTTATAAAGGAGGCCTTTGATAATGAAAAAGGCCCTAGCAGAACTCTCGATGAAAAACACGTGCAGGCTCTTCATGTGTACGTCCACTGGAGTGCTTTCTGGACACGATGTATTTAATATATTCTTGCCAGACATCCAGTCAACATGAACAGCGGCAGCACCAGCTAGACAAACACACAAAACGAGTGGGACACAAAAGGGCATTATAAAAATAGTCCCCCATACTGAATGCTTCAGTGATGGTGCACTTCAGTTAGTTAACTGGAGCTTTATGGATGCAGTCTGATAGATTTGCTACCTCTCCGTTTTTAAAGGGAAAATTTGAAGGTGCTTAAAAAGAAAAAGAAAAAAGCAAGCACTACATTTTCATTGACCTAGTTTTAACTTTGCAGCAAGGAGGACAGAGCAAGAAGGCTGATGTGAAATATTATTAGCGCTTCAAGAGCAATGAACAGCAATTCAAAGTTCAGGAGGAGAAAGAAAAGCTTCTTGAAAAAAGAAAGTCTGACCAGACACACACAGTTGTTACTGAAGAGTCAGACTTCACCTCCGTGGCCAATGTGGAAGCTTGGCAGGTTGTGCCTATAAAATATCCAGCAGATAAGTAAACATCTCCTACATCAGAATTCTGCTACCAGCTGGTGGGCAGCTTCTTCCAGCTAGCAAACAATGCAGCCCCTTGTAAAGCACATTTCTCACATATTGCACTGAATTTCAAACTTATCCAAGCAGTTTGGCTGAAATGCCCAGGCCAAGTGCCATCATCTTTTATAAAAAGCCATGCAAAAGAACCCTCAAAAGCATTTCCTTCGGCGTCTTTTTCCACTGTTCTCTCACCCCTTCCCCACTTGAGCACTCAATCTACAGCTCCTATGGGACACAAGCCATTAAAAACAGCTCAAAACACTGATGGAACCCCTCGGTTAAAAGCCTGGGCAACCCCCCCCCAACCGTTTTGGCCTGGTGCCAAAAAAAGACAGGGACCATGGGAGCCTGAAGAGGGAGGACCATTCCACCCGCTGCAGGCAGGAGGGCTTGCAAAGAGGGTCTTAGCTAGTGTGCTGGAATAGCACCTAGAAGAGCAGTTGTTTAAGGCAGTTTCCACCCAGGGGCTGGAAATGTTGCCCTCACTCTAAAGCAGGAATTCAGGAATGAGTGGGATGGAGGTGTACAGAGACCGTTTACACATACCCCATCCTCCCATCTTCCTGTTGTCGCAGTGCAGAAGACCCCCAAATCTTGCCGGGCCTCTCTGTGGCCTACAGCTGAGCCACTGCCTAGATGCTAGAGAAAAAGTTAAAGGGCTAAAAAGTGGGTAAGAAAAATGAAGTTTAGTTCTGCCCCCATCCCCAGATCAGCTGTGGGCAAAGCCTCTACATGAAATTTCTGCCCCAAGTCATTCAACATTTCTCTTTTGAGCTGGAGCAAAGGGGGTGTTTTCAAAGGGCAAAGGCCCAGGAACCACACATGTCATATGGAAGCACAAAGTATCACCGCTGGCATTGGGAAAGGAACACAAAAATAGTGCTGGGTCAGATCAGAGCTCCATCTAATCCAGCATCCTGTCCCAAATGGTGGCCAATCAGCTGCCCTGGAAGGCCAACAAATAGGGCACAGAGGCCAAGGCTCTCTCCTGCTGTTGCTTCCTTGTATTGTTATTCAGAAATTTACTGCCTCTGAATATGGAGGTTCCTTTTTGTCACCACGGCTCATAGACACTGATAGATCTGTCTAATCCCCTTTTAAAGCTGCCTGTGCCTGTGACCATCACTACATCCTCTGTAGATGGAATAAAAGCTCTGTATGGAAGGCACCCAAGTCTATCCCACCCCCACACAGGTATTAACTCCATAGTTAACCGGCTGTACAAGCACTGGAAGAAGCTGTGTGCATGAAGTGGAATGAGGGAAACATTATTTAAGAGTCATTTATCCCTTCACCTGCTTAAGTTAGATCACCACTCCCATTTCCTAAATACAATGAAGATGTTGTTCTTAGTAAGATCAAAACTATCTTTTAAAGCCACCAGCCATTTATAGTACTTGGGAAAACCAAGAAAATCAGGCACTTCTAGAAGAACTGTCAGAACCCCTGGCTTTTAGAAATGAGACCCAGGCACTCTTTATTGTAACAATACATGCTGGCCTACTTAAACCCACAGCATCCACTATGATGAATATCCATAGGACTCCCAGGTAGTTGCTAAAAATTTAATCACAATATTTCAGGTTTATATTTACAATTGTCAATACATTTTCCAATAACTGTCTATCAAGTTGTACACCTTGCTGTTTACTGACTGGAAACTGTAGTAGGAATGGACAAAACTGAAAGAAAGAGAATTACATAGTGGATGCATGTAATGGATGCATCACAGATGGGTAAGGGATTTACAAAATGCACAGTTCCAACCATGAATCCAAATGATGCTTCTAGAGGAAGACAGGAGGCTAACCAATTAAGGACTTTTTCTGAAGGCCAATACATACCTTTATAAAGTTGCTCTATTTCACATAACTCTGCCCTAATTTTGAGGGATCCCCTTATTTCTTTTCACAGACCATCATCCTTTACAGGTACAAATAAGAACACCGCCTTCTGAAAGGATTATTCTAGGTTCAGAAAGGTGTGTGCACTGGCACATTACCAAGGTAAGGCATGGGAGTCACACTGTACTGTTCCGCTGGGAAGACAAGGAAAGACAGGAGCGTGTTCTCCCTTATTGTCTGGATATCGTGGCAGCTGGCTTTCTGGACTTAGGTGCCTCTTCTTTGTAAACATTCCTTGACTGAAATGGCTGAGGATAATCCTGAGGCATACTCATTGGGCAAAGGCAACACCAGTCGAACCTGAGAAGTGTACTCTAATCACTCAGTTTCTTGGGCTGTAAATTGTAAGTTTTCTAAGTACCACTTCCTAAATCAAATCAAGATTTAATCCTAATCATCTAGGAAGACTGAAAAGCAGGGGACCAGACATTGCCCGGGGGGGGGGGGGGAGACGGACAAAGGCTGAGCCATCGATCTGAAGGGGATCATGTGGTGCTTGTGGGCTCCCCCCTGATGCCCCAGCTGGAAGTTTCCCCAGTAAGTTAAGGGGGCAGACTGCCTGACAGAGTCTTTAGGAAGAGACCTATCCTTCATTCCGATACTTAGAACCACGGGGGCTTCATCATAAACCAATTTGTCTTCAGAACTTCAGGGGGTTTTCACAGTTACTTCATGCCGTTGAGAAATTTGTGATGTTCTTCTCCTCTCGGTAGAAGGGTTTCTGCACCGATCTGGGGACCTTTCTTCTCCTAGAAAGGGGAATTTACAATGAGATTGTGTTTCTGGGCACTGGAATAAAATCCACAGTTTCAGGAAGCAAAACAAGGGGTCAACCGCCAACGCTCCCTTTAAGCTGTGGAGTCTTGTGTGCAAAAATTCTACTTTGTGAGCTACTGGCATTAAAGTTGTGAGCGACCGATTTGATTACCGCATAAATTAGTTTGCTCTGGAGCCGTCCTTCCTGAGCTAAGACAAAAACGTGTGAGCGGGAGGTTAAAGAACTGAGCTAGCTCACACTAACTCAGCTTAGAGGGAACACTGGTCACCACTGTAAATCAAGTGTGGTGCAATCCACTAGGGAGTTCATGCCTGCAAGTCCCATTCACGTCAATAATGCTCACCCAAGAGAACCCCAAGTGGATTGTATTATTGCTAATATTCCTGGAAATGAAACTCTAATTTCAAAGTTTTCAAGAAAAGGAATGTCTTTAAAAAATAACCTGGAAGCTCTTGGGACTACCCAGGACCAGTCATTTGACCTACAGAGCAGATAGTGTCAAAGTGCCCTGTGGCATCAGAAGTGTATGGGAAAGAATACCCTTAAGGTGCAAAACGTGCCCAGCAGGTCAGGGGAGTAACCTGGATAGGCAGCCTTGGTCTGCACTTACCTTGAGCATTCCATCACGTTCCCACTTAAAGAGGCCACAATGACTGAAAGACAGACAGAAAATTGTGGTTGTGAAAGAAGCAACTCAGAGTATGTTCTGCAATGCAGTGGTAACTGGGGTGGCGGAAGGCCGGTGCCAGGCCTGAATGCCTCTGAAGCATGCAAAGTGGTTGAGGCCTGCTATTACACCAGATGAAGTGGCTTGCCTACAAAAGCTAATTTATTTTTAAGAGACCTGGCCCTTCCCAAAGCCCAGTTCCATCATCCATGCTCTTGGGATTTGTGCATCTAGAGTCAAGGACCTATCCCCTGACCCCAGCTGTGTCCCATACAGCACGCATCCCCTGACCCTGATTCCCCTCCCTCCATTGGACTGGAGAGAAGCAGCCCAATGGCTGCCTGGTGGACTGACGGTTTCTCAGCCGCATGAGGACAGTCTGTATGCACAGCATTCAATCTGCCCCCATTTGGGTCCCCACACATGCAGAAGTTGTTCCTTCTCTCTGGGTCATGGTGCTTCTCTGCCAAAGAGGTTGACAAGGAGCTCCTTGTTTTTCTATTGGAGGGAATGATTAGCAAGTAGAGGTCAGGGCATGTGAGAATGTCTGCTGGGGGAGAAAAAAAAGAAGCTCCTCCTACCTGCAGTGTTTTTTGGGTAGCTTGTCGAGAGAGATGGCTCGGTTCCCACACGGACACTTAAAAAATCGCTTTACGCCATCATGCCAATTATAGTCATGATTTTGCTCCACACAGGAATCTAGGAGCTTGAAATAGGTATACTTGCACTGTAGGGGAAACAGAGAGACAGCAACACACTTTGAAATGGCTAGAGGTTTTTTTAAAAAAAGACTATTGTCACAGGAAAGCACAGCTGGCTGCAGCAAAAGAATTGTCTGTTCCTTAGGGAGTTGGAAGAAAGCAGGCAGACAGACAGACAACCTTTATTGGCATATCAGAGATAAAAGTACACTGAAATTTAGGAATACGTCGAAAATGTGGCTGTCATACAAACGAACAGCAAGAAAAAAGGCAACATTGAAAGTTATAGAAGAGTTTTGCCCCAAGACTAGCAATTGGACTTTGACCCTCTTAGGGAGACCACGCCAGTAAAAAGAAGGGAGTCCAGAAATTTATCTCGGATCTTAGTATAAAATGGGCAATTTAAAAGAATGTGGGAAACAGATTTGATGGCACCCTGACTACAAGGGCATTGTCTAAGTTCATAAGGGATTTTATGGCATCTTCCAGAGAAGATGGCCGATGGCAATACGTTAAATCTGGCTAACATAAATGCCCTTCTTTGATGAGGGTCAGTTAAAGAGCAAAAATAAGTAGCTGTCTGGCCCAGTGTCTGGGGTAATCCCAGATGAATTGGAGAACAAGTTTTCCTAGCTGCCTCAGCCAGGCACTGAAACTGAATATCTAAAAGCCTGCGTTTGATTGTATAAAATATGGTGGAGGCAGATGATAAATAAAGCAGATCTAAAGGTATTCCTAAGGACCTAATTTTTTTTTTGACTAATTTCAGCCAATTAGGTTCACAATGATCTGTCAGCATTAAAAAGGTAGAAGAATTTTGGGTCAGGATTAAACAGAAGGCGCAACCAAAATTTGATGGTCAAAAGCCAGGCTCCAGTTTCCAGGGACATCTGACTGGTTTCGAGACACACAAAAAAAAAAAAAAGGATTGTAAACCTGATTGGTTAATTGCACTTATCCAAATGGGAGTGCCATATAGGAACTGTGAACTAGATTTTGCGCTGAAGACTTTTAAGGCCACTGGGACGTATCTATTGCCTCTCATGTAGAAAAAGTGGGCGATGGCCTCAGCACTTGGAACGCCTTGTCGGCTGCTGCCAAAAGTTGAGCAAAATTGAGAACTGAGTCTTGGGAGTGAAAGCAGCGCCCAGACACCTGCTTGTTAAGACTACTTTATTATATGTGTTTCCTGCTTGGCATTTTAATCTTTGGGAGGTCTTAAATATTTCTCACCCAGTTCTTTTCAGTACCCATCAAGGGGCACGCCTGCTCCAATCTCAGTAATCAATCTAACCTGCAAGTAAGCTCACAATGGGCCCCCCTTATTCGCCCAAGGGAGCCAGAAGAATTCTCTCCACCCACGCCTAAGCAATCAAAAATTGGAGATTACTTTCCCAATCAAGTATCCACCAGTAACAGATTTTCTGTTTTGGCAAACCTTCCCGACTCTCTTCATGAAACTAGTGCTTCAAACGCTGAACCTGATGAGCTCCATAATGAAAGGAGTGGCTGCAGTAATGGGAATCTCAGTTACAACTTGGACCCCTCGGGACTTGAGAGAGTCCAAGCAGCAAGGATTCACCACGCAAATGACTCTGTAAAAGCTTCTGCCTGCTCGTTGGCTGATTTTTGCAGTTTTATGGCGAGAACTAAGGGGCTTATCTGCGGTAATCTAACTTCCTTGCATTCTAAATTGGACCACTTAATCTCTCTGAACCACAAAAAAGCAGCAGAGGGAAAAAAACTCTCATACTCCAGCAGCCCTCACCTTGACTTGCTCTTCCCAGGATACCACCCCTAGCTCCAACGTTAAACCAGGGTCGGCCTCTTCCTGGCATTTGATGTTACAGCCTCATAAAATCTGCTTAACAATTTGTGATGTCAAGGGCCATACTCCATCTTGGCGTACAAATCTCCTTGCGGTGAGGCATTTAAAGTCTCTCCTGATGATCAAGCAGGTTGATCTGACATCGGTGGAGCATCTGAATAATTCCAGCCAAGCACAAAAGATCTTGCTATCCTTTGACTGCCCTAAAATTCCGCAGCTTCTACTGAGTAAGAAATCCTTTCTTAGATCCAAAGGAGTTTTCCCTGTAAGAGTGTTTCAGAATACTACAGTTGCCCCAATACTTCCTCCATCTTCTACAGCTGCACCGACTAGGCCAACAACCTTCCCCAATGGTGCCTCTAATTCCACCAGTGTTAACTGCAACACATTAAAAAAGACTGCGTCAAATGACTTGACCAACTGGACAGAACCTGCCGAGACCCCTCGTTCCCTGGGAGAGTACTCCGTGGGACACTTCACCCTGGAAGAAGATCTCCTGGCTTCTTACAAAAACCTGACAACACATGAACAACAATCACTGCCAGACTGGAGGAACTGAGAACACACCTCCTGTTGAATCAAAACAAGGGTGAGGAGCAGCCGATTCCAACTCCATCTCAAGATTTAGTTAATATGACTTTACTTCCTTCCTCCCCACAGAATCCAGTTGGACCGACACACCATTGATGGAGGTGGAGGTAGAGATTCATCCTCCATCGGTTCCTGGAATGGCCAGCCCCGTGCAGCCTAGTGTCTCTAATCATAGCCAGTCTTCCTTGGGAACAAGCCCTGGTCTAAACCATAACAACGGCTGTATTAATTTCGACACGGACAAATCTTTTGAACAGTTGTTAGAAATTTATTGACTGTCAACAAAGCCCCAGTCTTTAATCGTGAAACTGCTATCCTGGAACACAGCTGGATGGGGAAGTAAGAAAACGGATCATGTTTTTTGTTCCTATTTAAGACAATTTGAGATTAATTTTCTTCAGGAAATATGGACAGAATCCACAATTTCCCTTGAAGGATTTTCAACACATTCCCTGCCTGGGTTCAGGAGCAATTCTCGGGGCCGTTTCCAAGCAGGTTTAACTCTTTTGTTCTCTCTCCAGTCTAAATTCAAATTTTTGGAATTACCTTTCTGTAACCCTATTGCTCATGCCTTCCTATTTAGTCTTCAGGACTTTGCTTTTATTGTGGTCAATCTTTATTTACCTCCTTCCCCAGACAAATTGTCCTTATGCTCCCTTTGGGACCGTTTGATTACATATCTTGAACAACTAGAACTTTGCTTTCCTACAGTAGATATTATCCTTCTTGGTGATTTTAACGCCAGAATTGGTAAAGATGACCATGACCTTCTGGCTGCTTTGAATTTAGATCCAAACGACTCCCTCCCAAACTTCTTTAGTTTTGTCAGGTCCTCCAAATTGGTCCTAAATGGTTCCCATGGTAGGGATATCCCTGGGGAATTTACTTTTGCATCAACTAGAGGTTGTAGCATTTTAGATTATATATTAATCCCTTTATCCTTCAAAAATAATCTAGAGTAGTTCTATATTGATGCCGGCAATGAGTGATAATTTCCCTCTAATCCTCTCAACTACCCCTCAGATACACCTTGAACCTGATTTAGCCCCTACAGCTAATGACTCATTCTTTGAGTCCCTCCCTAGATTTATTTGGTCACGTAACCACACTGAGAGAGTCCAGCTATTAGTCACCGAGCAGGTGATTATCGCCTCGCGTTCCTCCCTTATGACTTCTTCAAACCCCACTGAAGCGGTATCTTCATATGATAATTTAGTCTCCAGTTTTATTTCCCTACTTAACCCTGTTCCTTTTTGGAAGAAAGCAGCCCTCTCTCACTGTATTATCGAGTGGATGACTCATGTGAAGTCAACTCCTTTGCAACCTCAATGCAACTTGGACTCATTCTTAGTCAAGTATGCAGCAAGCAGACAACTTGCATCAAGGGTGCAGGATCTGATGCACTGCTCGTGGGGACCCCATGTGCTCTTATTATTAGCACTGGCTCTGCTATCACCAGACAAGGTTGTGCAGGATTAGAACTACCTGGCACCCAGACAGCAGCTACAAACCAGACAGCAGACAATGGCCACTCACTGTCTTGCAGGTCACAACGCGGCATTTCACTTCTCTGATGCTCCTCATCTTCTCTTCCATTTGCTCCTTTTTCACCAGGGGCTCGAAATAGCGTTCCTGTACCTCTGCCTCAAACTGTGACAAAGGAGATTAAGTTTAATCCTGAATAATCAACAGCTGATATTTGTTTATCTATTCTGTCCTTCCTCCAAGGAGCTCAGGGTGACTCCCTTCTTCCATTTTACCCTCACAACAACCTCATGAGGTGGGTGAGGCTGAGAGGGAGTCAGTGGCCTAAAGTCACCTGGAGAGCTTTGATGACACAGCTGAGATTTTACTCCAGGTCTCCCAGTCCAACACTAACCACACAGTGCAGCATGACTGATGTTAAAACTAGACCTTTAACAGATTGCTAAACATGTGCTTGGATACAGGTTTCAGGAACAAACATTCAGCAACAAGCAACTAATTTAAATCTTCACCCAAATGTAAAGCATAATCCATATTTGTGGGAGCAAGTTTTGAAGTTGTTCTGAAGAGTAGACCCTCTTGTTGGCTGTACCTTCATACCCTGAACAAACAGGAGTCTTGTCAGATCGTAAGACTAACACGTTTTTATTCTAGCATCAGTTTTGGTTGACTAGGGGTCACTTCAGTAAAGGTAATCAGTAAGAGTACAAAGAGTATTCACAATAGTGAATTACTACAATAGCAATTATTCACTAGATAATGCAGTCTACCTAGTATTGTTAACCAGCCAAGCAACCCTAGGTCTAATTCAGCACTTTTGCTGTGACCTCTCCCCTTGGAAGTTCTTTTGCTCGAGAATCAGCAACCTTTGAGTACGACTGAGTGTTCCATAGTTATGTCTCACCCTGTACTGCCAGGATTCCATGGCCCCTTTGATCCTGCTGCTTATAACATTTTTCTGCATAGCTTGTATGTGTGCGAATACGTCCGCCACATGGCATTTGATGAAGTCTAGGAAACCTAATGCTAGATTAAAAAATGTGTTATTCTTTGTGATGCTGCAAGACTCCAGTTTTAGCTTTGCCACAACAGACTAACATGGCTACCCCCTCTAGATTACCTTACATAGCATCTCTAAGGATAAAACTACTGATCACAATACCTCCTCACTATCATTAAGTTTTCATAAGCTTCAGTTTTGCTGTAGGCAGAGCTGTATATGCTCCATAATCATAAACATAGATATTAGTACTCAATCCAGAATTCAAGGTCCTGAGAGTCTCAGCTTTTCTGTTTTTAAGTTTTAAAGAAGTGATCAGCCCTTAAGGCAAAGAGATTCAAGAACATGCATGCAACGACTGAGAAACCTCAGAAGATGGAAGAGGAGGGATCTCTTTGCATTTCTGGTCAGCAGGGTATCTTTTCTTCTCCATGACTGTTCTGAGATTAGAGGGCGTTTCAGGGGCAAGGACATGGGGGGAGGAGGAGAGGCATTGTTGTGTGTGTTGTTACATCACTCCTGAGAAAACCTGGAAGTGACACAAAGTAGCTCCAAGAACTGATGGAAACTGTACAGTAAAACCAGAGAGTTTCCAGATTCCTAGAGCTACTCGACATCACTTCTGGGATTTCCCTGGAAGTGACATTACAGTGCGCATGACACTGCTGAGCTTTTATTTTCAAATTTTCTCCCGCTGCCACTCAGAGTGCTGGCAGGCAACAGAGACTAGTGGGAGGCCTGGCAGCCAAACCCGAGAAAACCTTTTGTATCAGAATCAGCCCTTAAGGACACACATACATATGTTTAATTGAAACCAGATGTGGGACTCTATCAGACAACTGGCTTCTTCCAAACAATAGTCACCACCCCACTAAGTTAAAGTAAGTTTCTAGCTCTCATGTTGTACACTGCCAAACTAATTTTGAGCTCTTTGGTCAGAAGGCTGAAAATAGCCCGGGATTTGCACAATCCCAGCTGCTTAACATCCAGAATTCACATTCAGAGATTTTTCAACAGGACATCTCCTTTAGGCTTACCTCCTTAAGGACACCTGTGTGTTTGGATCTAGCATGCAAGATCTCCTGAAATTCTTCACACTCCAAATATGCAAGCTGCTCACGACGTTTCTTTTGAACAGGTTCTATCCCATCTTTATCTAGAAGATCAAAGAGATAGGATATACACAAAGGCACACGTGTGTAACCATTTATGTCCAAGGTTGTTCCTGCTTCTACAGGGGCAGGACCAATGCATTGTGTTCAGGTGTTCCTGCTGCAGCCATTCAGATGTGGTCTGCCTAGTCCCTCCTCTGTATGCTGATCTCTGGAGCCAGACTGCTACTGCAGTGGGTCTGCACCAAGGCAACTAAGCCTGGGAGCAAGTCTGTGATACGGCAGCTGTACAAAGCTAGGCTTAACAACACCTTTAGTTTTGGGTCTGTGTACCTACATACCTTCTAACGCAGGAACATTTTTCTGCACTCTCTCAGCAAGCTCTAGACTGTCAAGATCAGACCGTTTCCGTTTTATGCTGTTTGGGTCAATTTTGGAGAGGATCCGGCCCTTTGCACGCAGTTTATTTATAGCTGCTACCTGAAAAGAGTGAAGACAGAAGATGCATGTTTGGAGGTTGCGAACATGCTCAAGCAAGGAAATCCAGTGAAGCCTACTTAAGCTGCAGACCAAATATATTTCACCTCTCTACTTTGCTTGAATAAGTGGGCCAAGTTCTGTTTTAAGGTGTCCCCAATCTTGTTGAGCCTCCTGGCGCTTTTAGAACTTTGAGAAAATGTAGCAGGAACAGCTACAGAATGGCTGCCTTGAAAGGAGGCACTGCCAATCACAGAATGGCTGTCATAGGGGAGGGACAATGACAGAATGCTGGAAAGTGCCAAGCCAAGCATCTTCCTATGGTGAGGGCAGTGACTTCCGAAGAGGAGGGAACTTCCCCACAGATACAAAGGTGATGCCTGCCAGGGTCTTCTGAAGCACCTCCTGGTCCAATGAGGTGGAGGATATCTGGAACTGGAACTTTGCTTTTGCAAATTGGCATTTGGAAGGGTATCATGTTAAGGAATTACTGTTCTAGATGCTTCCTTTTGTGCAGGAAAGAGGGAAGTGATCTGTGTATCCACAGCTTTCATCTTAAGTTGGTGAAGTTCATCCAAACAATTTCCATGGAGATGACAGAAGTCTTGCCCCCCCCCCTGCCCCATCAGGAAACCTGCCTACTGATATGAAATGTGGAATTTCCTTTCACATTTGATACCCCTGTTGTCATTGGCTGCCTTTACTCTTTCACTCATTTGCTTAGAAATATACTTCTCAGCAGGTCCAAAGTGTAAGATTTCAGTACTTAAATTTGGTTCTCCTGTTTTCTAGACAAGAGGGGAGAGAGGAGTGGTGCTGAAGGAGCTGTGGTAGTCTGAATGAATCTTCACGCTTCTTTGTTTATAGGAGGCCCAACATTATCTATTAAATTCAATTTATAAAGCATTAAACCCAAAAGGTTATTTTAAAGTATAATCAAAATCTGCTGCTCAACTCTTTCCACAAAACTATCATCAGTCAATGGCAGGTCTCCAAGCTGACTTGGAATGACATTTGACTGAATGTTGAGCTTTTACTGAGCATCTTGTGGTCAGCATGAAGAGCTTTCGAGGAAAAGTTACCTTTTTAGCTTCTGCCAAGCCATTTGGTTTGAGTGCTGGAGGAGCCAAGTTGTCGAAGAAGAGAATATCATCTCCTTCAGAGAAGCCCATGCCAAGTCTAGGTGTCTGGGGGCTGGAGAGTTTTGCGGCTTTTGGGAATTCAGCCCCTGGAGTTGGAGACAGCAGCGCAGGCGGCCCTGAGGAAGAGGGCAGTACTGGGGCACTTGCATTACTTGTTGTTTGCAGAAACCTGAAATCAGAAGACAGAAGCCACAGTTGTCACATCTACGAGAGCAGGGGGTGGAGGAGGAAGACTTTCAGTTCCGCAGAGACTCCTGCTTGAGCAATGGTCGTCAAACTGTGTTCCACACCTCTGCAAGAGTCACCTCACATTTCGAAAAAAGCCTGTTAAAGAGCCTCTCACTTGGACACAGGAAGAATTTCCTCCAGGTAACCAAGCAGGAAATGTCACAAAAGTTGAGGCTTTTTTTTTTCTTTCTTGGCAACAGTTAACTGAAGTGTTGGTCTGGCTCCCCTGAGCTTCAAATTTGGACAGGGCCAAGTTAAAAGACATTCAGTTTGGCTTTGAAACTCTCCATCCTTCCAACATCTCATGAGTCTCTCCTCTCTTTCCCACCCAAACTTACTTCTTGATGGGAGCTTTCAGGTGGGCCTCCATGAGATGTGGAAGCATCCAGGGCTACCAGAAACCGAGAGAGAGCGAGAGCGAGAGAGCGAGAGAGAGAGCGAGCGAGAGAGCGCGAGAGAGAGCGCGAGAGCGAGAGAGAGAGCCTGACAGTTTTAGGCTACTGAAAGTGTGGTGTTTGAATGCCAGCTTTACACATGGTTGGTGGCCATGCCCAAGAATTAAACCAGTCGGGATAAACGTTAGACTTAATAAAGGAAATTATAGGGTACACTATATGATCTGGTCCTTCTGCTTCACATAGTGAAACTGATGCTATGCACAACTGCAGTGGGTAAAAACAGACAGCTAATAGATGGGAAATGTGAGATGACCCAATAAAAAGGGAAATTCTAGTCTAGGAAGCCTGAACATTTCTGGTGCCAAGGGCCACTGACCTGGTTCACTGAACTTTGAAGGCCTCTGTTGGGCTTCTAGTGATCATGCAGCATGATGGCTGCTTACCTGCAGCTGCCTTCATTTTAATTTTTTCATTAAAATAAATACATATAATCCTAAATGCACACAAGGAAATGATCAGAGCTTGCCTCTGCTTCCTACTGTGTCCTTGCCTCAGTATCTTGTACTTTCCTTGCTCTGCTCCCATGTTCTTTCCTTTTCCGCTCTCTCACCCCACCCCATCCTGGGGCTCAGCTCACTCTTGGCCAGCAGCATCACCAGACAATCAACGCACAGCTATCACCCTCTCCCAGGCCCCCTGCTGCTGCCAGCCTGGCCCAAGAGGGCTGGGGGTGAGGTGGGAGAAGAAGCAGCAGAAGAGGTTGGATGTATACCCTGCCCTTCACTCAGAGTCTCGGAGCAGCTTACAATATCCTTCCCTCCCTCTCCCCACAACAGACACCCTGTGAGGTAGGTGGGGCTGAGAGAGTGCTTTCAAGGACTGCTTGTGAGAGAACAGCTCTGAGAGAACTTGTAACTGACCCAAAGTCACGCCAGCAGCTGCATGTGGAGAAGTAGGGAATCAAACCTGGTTCTCCCAGATTCTACGCTCCTAACCACTACACCAAACATACCTCCTTTGCAGCTCTTCAGACCTCCTTTTCCTAGCTTCCAGCATTTGCTGTTTCTGTTGTTTCAGCAGCACGGAGGCAGAGATGGGCTGGAAAACTGAGCTCGGCTTCCTGGTCAATGCTGCTGGTGATGGAAGTGGGGGGAAGAGAGAGAAATAAGTGGTAGAAGAGGCAGCCTTTCTCCCATAAGAGTCAAATGCATTCCAGCCTCCCTTCCCACATACCTGGTGCGCTAGCTTTGGCTAAGTGCCGATTGAGGTTTTGTGCCCCGAAGGAGGGTGTGGCCAACAGCTCCTTGAATTCCTCTGAACACGGTAAAGGCCGATTTTGCAAGCCTGGAACAAAGAAGTAGGGGACTAAGGTTTCCAGCAGTTGGGGGTCCTGACTTCAGTGCCCTGCAGTGTGCCTGGCCTCTCTACATACCTAGCAAAGCCAGAGGGATAAAGGATGAAAACTAAGAAAAGCTATGCAAATCTGCTCAGCACACACAACGAATGGTTACAGAACTCTTCGCTTCTTGGCACAAAATTTCCTTTGACTGGGGGGAAATGCTTCCATGGATTAAAGCATTCCTTTTGAATGTTAAGTCCTTAAAATCTGAGGGAGGGTCTACCCTCCTTGGACTTTTATAAGCAGATGCATATAATAGCTAATGGGATCAACTACTGGAAAAGAAAATGAAATGTCTAGGTATAACAAATGATAAGGTGAAGATCATGGAGACCAAAGAAAGTATTAGGCTAATTAAACAGCGTGTTAAGAAATTGGATATTAACAGCACATCTGTCAGGGTACCTCAATGTCTTATTTGGTGGACTTGGAGATCATATATAAAAGTGCCATACAAACACAGATAAAGTTGAAACTATTGAGCATATGATTATGGAGTGGCCAGATTTAATGAGGTGAGGGCCAGTTTAATTACTCCTTCATTCCAAATTCTGGAAAGGTCTAATGAGGCACAGGTGACTTGGGTATTATCAGATACAATGATTCTGTTACTTTTTCTGGCAAAATCTGTACAGGCAATAATCAAACAGCAGCAAAAGAAAGGCATTAATTTATTTTACTGTATTATTTTCTGCTTAAGGCTATAGCTGCATGAGCAGCAATAGGTAGATAGACTGGGTGAAAATTCTTATTTTTTAGCCCAGAGTACACACAGATCTACTTACAAATATGATCTGATGGTGGCAGGCAAGCACTAAGGCGAGGTGGTCTCATGTATGTGCTGAATAGCCCAGTTTACATGATGCCACCTGCAGAACAAAGTCTAAAGCCTAGGATGAGACCACCATGTAAAAGAAAAGTCCAGCCACGCTTTGCCACTTGCCATGGTGTTCTGCATCAGCATCTAGTGTGAAGAGTGCAAGACATGGGTCCCTCACAATCCACAGTACAAGAACTCATGGGCACTCAATGAAACTGCTGAGTGGTCGGGTTAGAACGGATAAAAGGAAGTAGTTCTTCACCCAAAGAGTGATTAACACTTGGAATTCACTGCCACAGGAAGTGGTGGTGGCTACAAGCATGGACGGCTTCAAAAGGGAATTATTAGATAAGCATATGGAGCAGAGATCCATCAGTGGCTATTAGCCACAAGGTATAGATAGGGACTCTGGGGCAAGTGATGCTCTGTCTTCTTGGTGCTTGGGGGGCTGTCAACAGTGGGAGGGCTTCTAATGTCCTGGCCCCACTGGTGGACCTCCTGATGGCACTGGTATTTCTGGCCACTGTGTGACACAGAGTGTTGGACTGGATTGGCCTGATCCAATCTTATGTTCATAATTTGAAAGCACGGGATTGAAGTTGATTTGCAAATAATAGTTATAAGGGGACATGGTTCAAGTTGGCCAGGGTTAGCGTGCATGCAGATGTACCACAGAACACTCAGAGGGGAAAAGAGAATCTGGAAGGGGTGTGTGTGGCCGATCCATTAAACTATTTATTTATTATATTAGGCTTACAGCCTGCCCTACCCCTGCACAGCTGGGCTCAGGGTAGGTAACACATTAAAATAGTAATAAATTGTTCATTGTGTAGTAAAATACCTGAGGGACCGCCTTTCCCCATATGTCCCCCAGAGAGCGCTGCGATCGGGGACCCAGAATCGGCTGGTCCTCCTCCTGAACATCAACGAGGCCAGGCTAGCGACAACGAAGGCGAGGGCTTTCTTGGTGGCGGCTCCAGTCTGGTGGAATGAGCTTCCGGAGGAGATCAGGGCCCTGTTACAGTTCCACAGGGCTTGTAAAACGGAGCTCTTCCGCCAGGCTTTTGGAGCTACCCCCCCCCCCACTGCTACTGGAGAGCGAGCTTGACCCCGGGGTCCTCCGAGTATAGCCTGACCTGAGTGCCTGGGACATCTGATGGAGATCAAGAAGCTGACTGAACGCCGAAGAAGCATGCTAGCACTTTAATATGTTGTATTGTTATGGTTTTAAATCTGTGTTTTATTGGATTTTATATTGTATATTGGGTTATTATATTGTATTGTTTACATTGTCGTGTGAGCCGCCCTGAGCTGGCTTTGCTGGGAGGGCGGGGTAGAAATCTAATGAAATAAATAAATTCCACCCACCTCAACCATAGACCTGGCAGAACATCTCTATTTTACAGGCCCTGCAGAACTGCATTAGATCCCACAGGACCCGGATCTCACTTGGGAGAGCATTCCACCAGGCCAGCACCAAAGCCGAGAAGGCTCTGGCTCTGGTTGAGGCAAGGCGGATGTCTTTCAGGCTGGGGAATCACCAGAGTTTGATCCCTTGAGCTTAACACTCTCTGGCAGACATACCAGGAGAGACCGTCCCATAGATATGTTGGACCCAGACTGCAAAGGGCTTTAAAAGTTAGAACCAGCACCTTGAACTTGATCGGGTACTCCACCTGGAGCCAGTGCAGCTAGAGGAGCACTGGTTGAATGTGTGCTCTTAAAAGTGTTCCAGTAAGAATATGTGCCAGCTGGAATTTTTGGGTCAACCTCAAGGGTAGCCCAGCATAGAGCGAATTACAGAAGCCAGCCTAGAGGTGGCTGTTGCATGGATCACTGTAGCGGGGGGAGGAAGGGGATCGGTTGGCTTGACCTGGCATGGCCTAGATTATCTCAAGGTCTTGGCCTGTTTCACTTAAGGAAATTTTAAACAACCAAATGGCTACTCAGTTTCTGCCTGCACATATGATCCCATAAGGGAGGCCTGTAGCTATGGTGGGGCCTTTGGGGCTCTGCCCCCTTTCTTAAAGGCACACCCTCACAAGAATGTCTCCTGTAAATGCTTTTTTCAATTATTTTAAACATTTTTAAAGGTGTGTACTCCTTTAAGCAGAGTTGGGGGCTATAGCTGACTAATTCCTGCAGTGAGCAAGGGGGCTGGGGTAGGTGACCTCTAGGATCCCTTCTAACTCTGTGTCAAGAAACTGGCCTCCTTTAAGAGAGTTTTTCTGCCTAAGTGTAAGTTTTCTTGACTATAGAAGTCATCACCCCCACCTGCTGGCTTGTTATCAGAATTGCTGCTTAGGCTGGCAGAAGTGATTTACTTGCAGCAGCTGAGGACTGTCATCCAAAGTGGCTGACAACTTCCAATTTAGAGATCTATCTCGGTAACAGCTTTCTATTGGCTAAATGGTTAATACCTATGTATAATAGACAGCTTGAGACGACTCAGAGAGAGAAGAGACTGCCTCAAAGCTCTCTTCAACTTCCACCCTGCTGCTATGCTTCCAGAGACTCTGCTCATCAGGAACGCCAGTTGAGATGCCAGAGCTACATGCCTGATAGGAAGAGTAGTGAGCAGAATAGCCAGCTAGGTTTTTTGTTTTGGTTTGCATTCATTGCTGAACTGTATACATTCTTTCCCCTACCTATGTGTTGTTTGTCCTTTGTTTTTGTAAATAAAGTTTTATGTGTTTTTATACAAATTGGAGTGAGTTTACTGGCCCAACCCAGTGCCACACCTACCATCTACCAGAAAATGTATTCCCCCCCCCCCCCCCCCTTCTCAGCCTGCTATTGTCACACTCTGGGGCTAAGATTTGCAGAAGCCTCTTTGCTTTGATTTTAAAAGGCTTGATTCCACAATAGCTGAGTCATAATCCTCAAAATTCTGGCCTTCCCCCCCTGCACTGAGAATTTCACACACACACCCCGAAAATATTTACCCCTCAAGCCACAAAATCCTGGCTATGGGCCTGGAAAACTTGGATGATTTAGAAGAATTACTGCTGGGATTGCTTGCTGATGCAGGGGGAAAAACTTGTCAACTGCAGAGATGCTTTAAAACCACAATTGTTAAAGAAAGTTACCCAGTTTTTGCTTTGTCTCCTGCAGAACTGTGTCAACTCCTTTCACAACCAAATTGGATAGAGTGGTTTGGATCTTCTTCTTCGGAGCAGCAGCTGCTGCGCTGAAGGAGAGGAAAAGGAACACAACATCTTGAAACAGAAAGCCAAGCTTAAGAGTGTATGTCTGGAGGGAATTGTCCAAATACTACCATCGGCTCCCATTCCGCATGAGCAGAATGTTTTTCTTCCTCAAGAAGAAATCCTGGACTATCCAGTACAAAACCACAGGATTTCAGTTTTCAGAGGCAGTGAAGCCCTGAAGAGGGGGAGGCATTCCCCAAAGAAGTATGCAATGAAACGTTGGAAAAAGACTGCAACTATGGCAATGATAACAAACCCACTTTAAACAACCTTGAATGTTCACTCTTGTGCCAAGGAGGAAGAATCCCTGCCCCCAGTATAATTCACAAATCTTCTGGAAAACCTAAGCCTTTCCAGGAAGCCCCTGCTTAAACCCCCTGCCCCATTTTTTATCCCCCTACAGCAGAGGTGTGGCTGCACTCACTCACATGCAGCCCTTGTTAGACCTGCATCTCTCATCTGCCACCTCTTCCCTCCCACCACCAGTGGCCTCTTCCTACAGTCCAGCTTCTCAGTGTAGATATCCATCTTCCTGCAAATTTGCATTCTGATTCACAGAATCATTGAGTTGGAAGGGACCTCCAGGGCCATCTGATCCAACCCCTGACACAATGCAAGAAATACACAAATACCTCCCCCTCCACACCTGCAGTAACCCCTGTTCCATGCCCAGAAGATAACAAAAAACCTCCAGGATCCCTGGCCAAACTGGCCTAAAGAAAAATTGCTTCCTGACCCCAAAGTGGCAATCAGCATTCCCCTGGGCGTGTAAGAAAGGGCCACAAGAACTAAGCACTGAGGCAACCCTTCCTGCCCTCCCTCTCATGATCTGCCTAACTTCACAGAATCCGCATTGCTATCAGATGGCCATCTAACCTCTGTTTGAAAACCTACAAAGAAGGAGCGCCCACCACCTTGCTCTTTCCAAAGCAGAGAATGGTCTATACCATTGGTCTCAAACTCTGTATCAGGACAACACGGGATTTAAAAATGCTGCTCTCAGTGAAAGTAAAACTTTGGACAACTTCCAACACGGCACAAAATTTTACTTTTAGTGACAGTAAAGGAAAACAGGAGAGGAAATATGGTTCCTTACGCTGAGGCTGCATAGGCTGCTGAGGAAACCCCTCCGTAATAAAATCCATCTTGACAAAGTCTCTCCTTCAAGCCAAGGGCCTTCTTTGCATTTCTTTTTGGAGCCCGAGTGATTGAAAAGGTTGACTGCAGATCTGCCCGCTTTGAACAGAGCTTTCGGTACTGGGATTGGACATGATACTGGCAATACTCGCAGCTGTTCTGAAGGAAGAGACAATCAGAAATTAACCTTTAGTACTATCTAGCGCAACAAATTCATAGGAAAAAAGGTGGATCTGCTGGGTGGAAAGTCCCCCCCCCCCATCCATTTTTGTCTTCTACATCCCTGTTAAAAGTTACTGCAACATCTCAAAAACAATGCACATGCCTCCCAGAAAACAGCCAGATGGCCTTCCAACATCCACAAAAGGTTAATGGAATACCCACCAGATTAACTATCTGTGTGCAAGGCTCTCCATTTTTCTTCCTGGCTTTACAGGTTCCCAAGTCCATGGCCTCACCCAAAAGTAAGATCTTTTGGGGATGATCAACAGACACACACACCTAAGGAGAAGCAACACCAACAGGGGGCACTAAATTTCATTGAAAATACTGAGCAAATGCCATTGCTAGGTAAAAGTGTATAGGGACAGCAATTTCCAGTGTGATGTCCATGGTGCTTGCCAATGTGTTTCCTGGTACTCACTTCCTTCTCCCCTGAAGCAAAGAACCAATCCTGTTTTTTCTCTCAATCATAGTAAGAAGCCTGGCATAGAACCTTCTAACATCCCATCACACTCATACCTGCCTACAGGAGCCATTTTGTTGTACTGCCAACTATGTGTTGTCAAAATCCACAAGTGCCCACAGGGTCTATAAGGCTGCGGACCCCTGATTTCAGGGCATGAGAAGCTATTCTCCCCAGAGCCCAGACTTTCTGGTTGGGTCTGGAAGTAATAATTGCTCTTGAAAAGCCAGTGAGAAATGGCTCTCCCACTCGCTGTGAGAGAAAGGCAAAGTGCATTGCTTTTGTACTTGGCAAGAGCTTAATGGGCAGGAACGATGTGCAATGTGCAGGTTATGTCCAGCTCCTGACAATGATGCCAAGTCTTAGCAGAAGATACTGACTGATGCCTTTGGAGAAAGGCATTCCTTCCCCTCCTTTTGTGTTCATATATAAGATTTTTTTTAAAAGCACAGTGTCAGTTGCGCTTCAGTCCCTCTCAGCCAGTCTGCCCACATGCTGCTTCTTGGCTAGTTTGCTCCCAGGCCTTATTATTTCTCTGAGGGCATCTGTGCCAGTCTTGTTCACCTGTACTGCATGGGAGGGTTAATGACGATGTTTGTGGGAGGACATGCAATTCTTAGGCAAACAGGCAAGAATTACAATTCCGATATCTTGACACAATGGTTGTTGTGAGGATAAAATGGAGAGGAGAACAACAGTATAAGCCACTTTGGGACCCCACTGGGGAGAAAGAGTAGAACTGAAGTAAATAGATACATAAACAAACAACCCTTGAGGTAGGTTAGGCTGAGACTTTGTGACACGGCCAAGGTCACCCAGCAAGCTTCCACAGCAAAGTGGGGATTTGAACCTGGGTCTTCTAGATCCTCGTCTGACACTCTAACCACTATGCCGTACTGAGTAAAGAAGTCCAAGTATGTGAAGTGGAAAATACTCAGGTCCCTGTACTTATGGAATATGCAGCAGTGATGTGCTAATCTTCCCTGCTGGTTTCACAGCCAGAGTTTTACAGTGGCGTGGGTAGAGGCATAAAAGCATTCCTCAGTCAGCTTAGGCAAAGGCAGAGTTCATTTTTCTGCCCTGCAGCCATGATCTTCCTGTCTAAGGGGCAGGGCCGTGTGCTACTTCACTATGCAAGAGGAAGTCTTCAAGGCTCCCTTTCTGAGAGAAGCAGGCTGCCCCTGGTTGTGGACTGGAGAAAGTGACATCAGAAGGCCCAGAAGACAGAGGATTCCCTGCCCCACGGTGATGTCTCCTCAACATACAACCTATGCATCACACTTCAAGTTTCTAGGTTTGCCAGCACTCCTTCAGCAAATGCCTGGGTGGTGCCTGGTGTTAAGGGAATGAAAATTATTTTTCTTTACAATAAAGCCTATTTTGCTTTATGGTAGTGTTGCTGTGAGTTCACTGATCCAAATCCAGGGTAACCTCAGTTACATTATCAACAGAGGGTCTTGCTCCAGGGTCTCAGGTTCAAGACAGGAACAATTGTGGATATTAGCCACAAGGTATAGATAGGGGCTCTGGGGCAAGTGATGCTCTGTCTTCTTGGTGCTTGGGGGGGTCAACAGTGGGAGGGCTTCTAATGTCCTGGCCCCACTGCTGGACCTCCTGATGGCACTGGTATTTCTGGCCACTGTGTGACACAGAGTGTTGGACTGGATGGGCCTTTGGCCTGATCCAACATTGGCGTCTCTTATGTTCTTAATTATCTCAGGGCATGGCAGGTCAGTCTTCTTGACACCTAGGGAGGGTGGAGTTTGCAAAGGAAGCGATGTTATTTCAAGGTGACAGTCTGGGAATTTCTCCTACTCTGTAAAGGCCACAGAGAAATCCCTAGAGTGTCATTAAGGAAGCCATTTTTATTTCTTTAGGGTAGGGACTTACCCAAATCAGGTGGGCAAATGGCAAGCCTGAGAGTTTCTGATGCAGGAACCAAGAAAAATATTGTAAAAGAATAAATGTGGTGATGGTGTGGAGTGTGGGGGAGACGTACCTCATTCGACCCTTCCTTTGACTTCATGGGATTAGCATTGAGCAGCCCAATGACCATGCCTTGGTCTGTTTTCCAGTAATCTTTGTGAACTTCACCAAAGAGAAACAAGGAGACACATCTGCTTAAGTCATGCAAGTCGTTCAAGCACCAGATGCTGAAGGTTTTACCCTGGAAGAGGTTGTAATGTGTAAAGAGAATGCAAATAAAAACTCCACTATACCTTCAGCTCTTGGGTCACCTTGCAAATCACCCCCCATCAGAGCACAACGTTTCCATATATGTATTTGCCATAAGAAAGGTGAAATCTACCAAATACCTACTCTGAATGCCACAACCTACCCATCCTACTTAAGTATTGTACAAATTCAGACTTTAGCTCTCTGTGTGATGCTGAGGGATATTTTAAACAATTTGGCAGGAGAAGAAACAAAGCTTGAGTTTTGCTTTAGTTTTTATAAGGGGCTTATGGCACAGGCTGGACAAGAGTGGAAGCTTAAACTCGGTATTGTTCTTCAGTAAGAAGCATTTGCATCGCTACATTTCAAGCGCTAATTGCATTTTACAAACATGTCTTCAGGGAACTTTATAGCAACCCTGTGAGGTAGTAGTATGCGCATGTGAAGTATTATTACACCCACATTGCAGATGGAGGCCTGAGGCTGAAAGAGAATGGCTTGCCAAAGACAGCTAAGTCAGCCTGTGACCAAGGTGAGATATGAACGGGAGATTTCCTGGCTCACCGTTCATACTGAAACCTGGTGCTACAGCTGCAGTTCTGACGCAGAAGGGTGGTGAAATACAGCCATATGGTTACAGTTGGGCAATGAAGCTAAATTGTGACACAAAACCTGCAAAATACATTAACACCTAATGGTGCCTTCTCTTCCCTCCTTTTACAGCTTTGCATTTACAAGAGAGATCATGAAACGTGGACTCCAAGATTGCCTTCATATTCAGACTGGTGTGGCATTTAACAAACAGGTGCCAATAAAAACCTCAGAACAATTTTAGTGAGGTTTTACTTTTGACTACCATTGTCAGTTACCTACTTGGTATTTTAAAGAAGGAACTGTCAGTTACCTACTCAGTATTTTAAAGAAAGAAGACCTTGTGATGAAGATCTGCCTTATTGCAGCTCCTAGAAGGACAGAGGCAGAGCACTCAGACTGCCTTTCTGCCAGCCCACATTTTTCCTGCCACCGCTGCTCACTGCCCCCCCCAACAAAAAAACTACCCCTGCTAACCAATTAAAGTCACGCAGACGCCAATTCCCCAGGTGTCCAGTCACCCAGAAAGCTTGGGCAAAAAGGATGCCCTTCACAGCACTACTGCTAAATCATGGGCAAAAACGAACATTCAGAGAAGCATTGTAAGAACTTAGACTTATTCAGATATTAATTAAGTGACTGATCTTTAAAAACTCAAAAAGTTACATAGCCCAACCAACAGCCGTGAAAATGGCATACTGAAAGCACAAAAGAAAAGAATGAAGCCATTTACATTACTGGAGCTCTGAGGAGTGACCTTCTTTATGATAACACCAAAAGTCACCCAGTTCATTTCCTCAAGATTCCCTGACGAAAGCTTGTCTTGTAATTGAGAGAGTCTAATTAATGTCCGGCCTGCCATTTTTCTCTCCATCTCAGCCGAAGACACACGGGGTTTTCTACAATGACAGTGTAGAAAGACAGAATGAGAAGAACTGCTTATGAAATTCCAAGATGAAAAATGCCACCAAATAGCCTTTGCTCAAGGCAACAACCAATGTTCTTCACCTAGTCAGTGTAAACATCTCCAGCCGAGGAGGAGGAAGAACAGGAGGTTGTGGAAATCTACAAAAACCATCTGGTAATGTCATTACATTTTATTGTTAACTGCTGAAACTTTATTATAGAGCTGCAGTCTAATTCCTTTGCTGAAAAACACATTTTGGCACCTCATTGTATTCAACTAACTTGAATAGCTGCTTCTCATCAGGACTCAGCCTGCATCTCTGGATTTGCACCAATCAGCACATGTCGGACACCACAAATGAAAAGAAATGTATCTACATTCTTCAGAAGCCATTATTTCAAAAGTTCTCTTAGCAAGTGTTTATGCTGCAGTCTTGCAGGCGGGCAAAAATGCTCAGAATGTGGTACTGGACACAGAGCTCAGATGTCAGAGAATCTCTGCTCCCAGTTTTACAAGTATAGTCAAGTATAAGCTTCTAGCAGCTCAATACTGAAAAGATATGCTTGGAAGCATGTAAGCAATGCCTGAGGAAATCTCAGAAGCCCGCTTCTGAATAGGCTTTTGTTTGGTTGCAAATAGGTTTCACTGCCTGGTACCCCCCCCCCCCTGCCCCAACCAAACACACAGTTTAGCTTTTCTCATTGCAGAATATTTGGGGGTTTTTTGTACCATGACCCACTTCCCCCATGCTTTTAGGATGCAAAACCACAATCACTTTTCCACATAGATTGCTGACCTTAACTTCAGTCCGGAAAAAGTTTCCACGGAGACTTCTGGTTTAATTACACTGGAACTCTGCGGTGCTTGAGATCTCTGACCAGCACCCACATCGGACTTCCTCTTGGCCACAGACTTCAGAGGCTGAGGCAAAGAACTTGTCATTGGCCTTGGAGCCTGGGTTTGCTTCTCTGGGGAGGGGGGGGAGAGCAAAGAAGAATGAATTACCATAAAGTGGGGGATCTTAAAATCCCATCAAGATCAGAGAATCAAGCCACCCAACCATTTCCTCTCATGCCAAAAGCACCTATGGCCACAGACTGAAGACTAGTACAGCACTAAAGTATGGTTTTAATTTCCCCCTTCAATGTTATGTTAGTTGAGATCAAGGTGAAAACAGTTCACTGTGCATCCCTGCTTCCTCAATGTCAGAGGACTTTTCTGAATACTCCCGTCTGTTTTTTACATTTCTATGCCTCTTGTGCACAACATATTCTGAACTCTTCATACAGAATGATGAAAATGCTCACAGCTTGCCCTTCATAACCTGGCTGCAGTATTCACGAATCACCAAATCCAGTTTCTTCAGAAACAAAACAAACCATCTCTCATGTGCTTCTCTTACTCAAATGGTCCATACCAACCAAGCTTCATGACACTTCCAGTCCAGGAGAGCTTTTGACCACCATACCTGACAGCAAAGGTTTCAGCTTCTGGCCCTGGGAGGGCAGCAGAACGGGACAGTTGAGCTGAGCTGAGAAACATGGTGACTCTTGAAGTTTGGGAGGCTTCTTCTCCCTTAAAGGGGCAACGGGCAATTTACCTGATCGACAAACCAAAAATTATTTGAGAGACTTAATGGGAAATTGACTTCATTGTCAAAATAATGCTGGAAAATTTAAAAAGATTCAGGGGAATAGGAAGCTGCATTTGAGCTAAAACGACAGGGACGAAACAATATGCTTAACAGCAGGTATAAGATCGTGATGAAGCTCTGCGGAATCTTATAGGAGGCAAACCAGATGAAATGCTGGGATTTCAGAATGTCCAGCTCTCTCTCTCTTTTAAATCAATTAGGCACATCGGGCCCTGATTCAGATAAGGGCTGTGGCATGAGTGCCTGCCACCCATGTGCAACTGTGCCAGTCTGAATCAAGGCCCAGAATGCCTAAAAATTAAATTTATGACATGCTTCTGGAATCTGTCCCTTGTGTAAGACAGTCTAGTTTAAACATATCACATCAGCAACAGAATGTCCAGGAGGCATGGTGTAGAGGTTAGAATGCCAGAGTGAGATCTGTGATATCCAAGTTCAAATCCCTACTCAGCCATGGGAACCTCACTGGGTGAACTTAGGCCAGTTACACAATCTCAGCCTAACCCACCACACAAGATTGTTGTTTGAGGATAAAATAGAGAAGGGAAGAATGCTGTAAGCCACTTTGGATCCCCATCTATGCTCCCTCTCAGCTCCACAGTGCTGTGAGCAAGAATTCTACTACCTCGTGAGCAAAAAAAAGCTAGTAGCATTAAAGGTGTGAGCGAGTCTACATTTGACTATTGCATGAATTAGTCTCTTAGAAGATTATCTCCATACCCTTGTAAAAATCTCAGAATGAATTCTTTTAAACTATATTTTAAGAATAATTCAAACATTATAAGAGAAAACAGAATCAAATCAAATTTTATTACAGAAAAATGTCCTCTACGGGGGTAGACAGGTCTACCCACTCCAGTCCACTATATCAGTAGACCTGGCCTCAGACCATCACCCTACACTGACCCTTAGAAGACATACCAGCACTGGGGGGGGGGGATTATTGCAGTCTACTTTGGGGGTTTTCAAAGTGAAATATGACAAATGTACAGGTCAAGTATAACAGAGGTGGAACAATCACGGTCAGAACTCTGCCTACCTAACAAACAGGAAGTTGCTTAAAGGTTATCAACACGCCCAAACTACTTATTTATTCAAATATTTATATCCCACTTTTACTGTGACTCAGGACATCTTACAAATCATATTGAAAAGCATAATAGGGGGTGTGCAAAACAAATAGATTTTTCCCTGCTTCATTATAGCCTATGGGGACCATTATAGTCAATGGACCCCCATAAGCTATAATGGAAAAATGATCCAGGGGTATCTGGGACTCTGGGGAGGGGCTGTTTTTTTGAGGCAGAGGCACCAAATTTGCAGCATAGCTACTGGTGCCTCTCCTCAATCCTGCCCAAGTTTCAAAAAGATTGGACCAGGGGGTCCAATTTTATGGGCCCCAGAAGGAGATGCCCCCATCCTCCACTGTTTCCAATGGAGGGAAAATGCTTGTGAGCTGGAAGCTAAAATTCTTGATCAGCCAGCTAAAATTTTGTGTGCCATCACCCCTAACACAGCTTAGAGGGGACACTGGTTCCCATTGGAGAGAAAAGTACAGTAATATTATCTAAATAAAACACACAATGCCATGTTGTTTGAACTGGCAGATACTGTGGTGTAAGCTTAAGTGTCCTGAGCTTTGACTCACAGATTCCAAGACGTTCCACTGTCATATTTTTCTACTAACTGGAGTGTCTTAGACTGTATGTATCAAGTGTCAGCTTTCTAGCTAGCACAGAAGTACCTCATCCATTCTGGTGACCATTCATAGTTCCCCATTTAGAAAGGAGAGAAGTGCAAATGGCACATTTCAGACTTTCCAAATAATCACGACGTCTTGGATGAGCAGCATACCAAGGCTCAGATTTATGTCTGATATCATATATAAATAATTTTGATACCCCCCATGATTTCAACAAGATCAAGCTTTCTTACTCTAAGTAGGATATTCAGCACCTTTTAAAGAGTTTTATACGAAATCCTCGCACCAAGAAGCCAAATGCTCTAACAATCAGGTATGCTCATGCTTTACTCTATTTAGCAAGCATTTGCCATTAAGATATATCTAACTCAGCAAAAAGCAGCATTACCAGGCCGCCTCCTGCTTCAGAGCCATTGTTACACGATTCTACCATCACACATTAGTTCGGCAACCGAGGGGAAGCTGTTTAGAGAACGCACTCCACAGTAAAATCCAAGGGGTCCAAAGTTATATTTGTTTAGGTGCTAGATTAAAGCTTTAGAGTTGCCAATGTTTGATTTTATGCAGACTTCTGCTTTTATTACCTGCAGCCTCATCTAGCCTTCATCAATGTGTCTTGATCTATTATTTTTATAATCTGATTTGTTCAAGTATATTGTTTCATTTTAGATTTCATAGACTTGGAGATGTTACGTCAGAAAGTAGCATGTACATAAAACAAAACCAAATTACCAGCTGTTTTCTTGCCAGGAGGAGAGTTTGCTGGCTGACCTATTGCTGTTATTTGTAATTGTTCTTGTAATTTCTTCATCTGCTCTTGCAATTGCCTCAGCTCATCTGAGAGAGAGAGGGGGAAAAAGAATTCAGAAACAGCCTCATTTGGTAGACTGGTTAGTAAACAGTTTTATTTTTTAATACAGTGAATCAAAAGAGGGAACCTGAACCTAGGACAAAGAAAAGCCAAACTCTGTATTTGCAAAAAGGCTTCTAACTCTCAAAGTCCTAACTCTGATTATAAAAATCCTTCTGGTTGCACAACAGCCTCCAATGACTGCTTCTACCATCCAGAAATGCTGACAGGAAATGCTAAAAGTTTTTAAATATCTTCATCAAGAGCACCTGTTCATAGTCAGACACAAGGCTCTCTGCTTTTAGCAATCCATTTTTAGACAAGCTGTCTCTTCAAGCTGGACTCAATTCTTCTACAAAATTTTGTGCAGTGAAATTAGCCCAAATGCTTTGGGAACTTTCACACCTAATGAGCTTTGCTAGTTGCATTTTTGCTGCTGTTGATGAGACCCATTTGTTTGGTTTGTAACATGCCCTGTAGCAATTATTTACAGCTGGAATACGTATATAAGGCAATGGTAGTATTTCCATCCTTGGAGGTTTCTGAAAGACTGAGCAAGCCTTTGTCACGGGGCAATCCACTGTCGTGTTAAGGCAGTGGCTGAACTATTGATTCCTTCTGAAATAACTGTGAACATTAGGTTAAAAAGTCTGAATTGAACCGATAAGCAGAGTGACCATTCATGGCAACAAGAGCCTATTGTAGTTGCTGTAACCAATCACTCTGCTTATTGGTACACTTTTTAGAGTTGCACAGAAACACCATAGGCAGGCGTTTTCTTTTAGGTGCCAGAGGGCTTTCGGTATTTGAATTCTCTGACATGCTGATGCCTCAACTTTGACACAATGATCAGTGTTGTTGAGAAAAGAAATAATGATAATTTAAGCAACCTTGCAAAATCTGGCAACAGAATACTTAGAAATAGAATTAGGATTGGTCAATGTAATGCTCATCTGGACAGTATGTAATGGGTAAATCCTTTGACAATGGACTTATTTTTTATGTTTTTGTTCCTTTCTTGTCTCTTTGAGGCTGTTACAATTTAATAATTTAAACTGAGCCTGCCTGGAGGGGAGGGCGGGGTATAAATCAATCAATCAATCAATCCAACAAATAAATAAATAAAAGAGAGAGAGAGAGAAACCTTGCAGATCTTCATTGGTCTTTTCCTTTGGTAGAAACGGAGACACATCCTGCACAGTTTCCTCCTCCTCCTCCTCCTCTTTCAAGAGGTCATCCACATCTCCAAACAACCCTGCCACGTCTTCCTTGCAGTCACCAGATTCTCCCTCTCCAGTGTCCAGCTCCTCAGTGCATGGAGAATCAGCATCAAAGAGTTCATTGTACTCGTCAGGGTCTCCAGCTTCAGCCTCACCAAGGGCGTTCTCTTCAGGATCTTCCTCTAATAAGGAAGCCAGCAAGTCTAAATTATCATCTGCTGGAATTATATAAACACAAAAAGTCAAACTTAACAAATACTCAAACAGCACAAATAAATCTGAAACCCAATTTAAGGTGCACAAGCCTCAATCTAACGATAGCCTTCATTAGAAAAAAGCAATGCACAGTTTACCTCTCAGATTCAAGTCTATTCAGAAGTAGCACCACTTGCTTCCCTCCTCCCAGGTTGACCTTTGCAAACCAGCTGAGGGACAGAAAGCACAGACAACTGCCAAGGTTAGCACAAGCTTACTAGGCCGCCTCCATGTCTCCTGGTAAGGCCCTTCACAAAACAGAACCCCTGCTTGCTGACTGGATTTTTACACCACTTTGTAGAGGAAGCAAGACCAAGTTTTTCAAAACTCGAAAGATGTCAACACTGTCAGGGTCAGTGTGTACAATCCTGGTTGCTACACCTGAGAAAGGATATTGTAGGGCAAGAAAAAGTGCAGAAAAGGGCAATCAAAATGATGAAGGAACTGGGACAGCCTCCTCACAAAAACAGGCTAAGAAATGTGAAGTTTTCCGTTTTGGAGAAAAAAAGAGCAGGGGGGAGGGAGTTAAGAGGTTTATAAAATTGTACATAGGGTAAAGAAAGTGGTCAATATCTTACTGGGGATGACCAAAAAGGCCCAGTGTTAGAGCCATAAAGGAGGGAGGCTAAATCCTTCTTTTCCCTTAGCATCTGTACATTTTAATAACTAGTTCTTTGTCCTCCATCATTAACCTCCCCCCCACCCCACCCATCACCACAAACCATTAGATCAGGCTGTTGAATTGCTTAGAAATTACTAGCTATTTAGAAACCAAAATAGCTAACTTGCTAAAACACAGAAAGCTCTGAATATAACATTAATATTTAATAATATTCCACACACTCATTCTCCTCCTGTGGATTTTTCAGAAAAAGATGCAAGCTGAGTAATACAACTGTTCTAATGGCATTTCAGTGCAATCTTCCACTTGTTCAGTTTTCACTCAGAGGGCTTGGACTGGGGTAACTATGTATTACAAGATTCCTAAGTATTGGAAAGAATTTAGCCCATTAAAATCAACAATTTTAAGTGGTAGCAGTGTTACAGCACCTAGTTTCAGGGCTACATTTTTGCCCCAGCAGTGGAACTTAACATTCCAGTTCCCATGAGAAAAGTCCTGTTTTTGGTTGTGGAAACCTATTAAATTGTGACAGAGAGCTAAGACAGCAAATTCATGACAGAAGAAGAGGAGGAGATTGGCTTTATCCCCCCCCACCCTTCACTCGGAATCTCAGAGCAGCTCATAATCTCCTTTCCCTTCCCCTCCCCACAAGAGACACCCTGTGAGGTAGGTGGGGCTGAGAGAGCTCTTTTGACAACTATTCTTGAGATAACAGCTCTGAGAGAACTTGCAACTGACCCAAGGTCACCCAGCAGCTGCATGTGGAGAAGTGGGGAATCAAACCCTGTTCTCCCAGATTACAGTTCGTGTTTCTAACCAATGCTCCCTCTAAGCTATGGAGTCTTGTGACCTCGGATTTCTTTAAAGAGGATGCAACTCCTATTGAATGAGGATTTTGTTTCCCTGATCTTAGTTTATATAATCAAGCATACTTGTTAACTTGTAGTAATTATTGGGATCACTCTTTGCAGTTCAACTGTCCACCTTGGGCTCTTTCGGAGGCTTCTTGTCTGGTGCCCTTCTCTAAGTGGAATGCATGAGGGTCTACTTAAGCTAGAGTGGATCCCATCCTTCCTGCAACTTCTGCAGCTACAGAACAATCGTGTATAACGTCACAACACTATCAATTTGATTCATTTTCACATGCCAAATTAACCTTATGGACCGATCCAAACATAAAAACTGGGAAGAAATCTTTTTAATGGAAAGCTTGGATCAATAAGGGGATTTTTAAATTGGAACAACTGATAGATTATGAGGATATGAGTTTTTGCCATTTTCTCAGCTGAGGTCTAAATATGACTTGTCAGCTTGTGTTGAATGGCAACATTTATAACTGCAACATCTGTTGGTCTCTAAATACAGCCCGGCAACATTAAATGTTTTCAGAGTCCCCTTTGCTTCTGGAAATTCTCACTGAATCAAGGCAGAAAACAAAACCTACAATATTTGTTTATAAACATGCGATGTTGATTAATACATACAATATAAAGAATCTCAGAAATGAATGGAGTAAGGAGCTAGATTTTGCCAAGGCAATGGGATATGGCCATTAAGCTTATACCTGCCTTCTTCGTGGATCTTAAGTTATTATTTGTTCAGCAAAAGGTCATGTTTAGGATACACTGGACACCACAGCAACTCTTTAGCAAAGGACTGAGTAATGTTTCTAACTGTTGGCTTTGTAACTTCACAGGATGTGTGAATTTGGTTTTTCTGGGAAATGGTAGGCAGGTAATTTAGATCTACTTCAGAAGGTGGGGTAGGGCTGAGTCATTATCTTCATTTAAAATTCAATTAAAACATATAAAATTTAACAGATTCAAGTTCAAATATTTACAGATTCAAGTTCAAATATTTACAATTAATCAGATAGCGTATAATAACACTATCACTATACCGGGGAGGGAAACAAGGGGGGAGAAGGGGCAGGAAGAACTATATGAATAGGAATTCTCCTGGCCTCACCCATACGATTGGCGGTACATCTCCATTTTACAGGCCCTGCGGAAATGAGTCAAGTCCCGCAGAACCCAGACCCCGCTCAGAAGTACATTCCACCAAGCTGGAGCTGCCACTGAGAAGACTGTATCTCTAGTTGAGGCCAGGCGAATATTCTTTGGCCCCGGGACCGTCAATGTGTTATTGTTTAAAGAGCATAGAGCTCTCTGGTGGGTATGTCAGGAGAGGCAGTCCCGAAGATACGTTGGTCCCAGACCGTGAAGGCTTTCAGGTTAAAACCAACACCTTGAACTTGATCTGGTATTCAATCTGGATGCACCAGTTGCATATGGGCTCTAACAGGAATTCCTGTAAGCACCTGTGCCACTGCATTCTGGACCAGTTGACGTTTCCGGGTCAGTCTCAAGGGTAGCCCTATGTAGAGAGAGTTAGTAGCCTAAACTGGAGGTGACCATTGCATGGATCACTGTGGCTAGATCAGGGTGAGAGAAGGGTGCCAGTTGCTGGTCTTGGCGTAGATAGAAGAATGCCAACCTGGTGACATTCGTGATCAGGGCCTCCATTGACAGGGAGGCATCCAGAATCATGCCCAGACCCTTAACTGTTGGTGCTGGTGTTAAAGGAGCATTGTCCAGAGTCGGGAGCTGGATACCCGATCCGAGGTATCCCTTCCCCAGCCACAGGACCTCTGTCTTCAATGGATTTAGCTTCAGCCGGCTCTGCTTCAGCCATCCAGCCATGGCTTCCAATCCCTTTACCAGATTTTATGGGGAGGTACTGGCGGCTGGCTGGCCACCCATGAACAGATATAGCTGTTATAAAAACGTCTTGAGCTGTTATAAAAACGCCAGAGGGGCCTACCGATCCGCCGCGAAAAGAGGACCGCCAGAAAAAAAAGAGGAGCCAGAAGCCGCAGCTGAAAGACGACGGAAAAAGCCGACCCGAGGAAGAACAACCCCCCTCCACTGGGTGCTGGTAGGGATGTCCCCACCCCTGATGAATTGTGGCCTTAGATAGGGATAATGGATAACTGTATAGCCGCTCAGAGACCCCTTCGGGGATTAGAGCGGGATAGTAAGACGAAAGTTAAATAAAATAAATTAAAATAAAATTAAAGTTAAAGGAGGCTCTCAATCCTTCCCTCAGGTTCCCGGGCTGAGCAAAGAGCCAAAATATTATACTTTGGCAGAGTGGGACAGCCAGGGTTCTTCGGGAAAAAGGAAAACACATTACTAGGGTGGCTCAATCAGGCAGGGAAAGAAAAATGGAGGGAAATAGACAGGGGCATCATACATGCACAGTAGAAAGGTTTGAGTGCGGTAAAAGATCTGACAATATTTGAAGAGCTGAGTTTCTGAAGCTCAGTGGGGGTACATGCCTGATCAGTAACTTGGACAGTAGATGACTGACAATCCCTCCCTTGAGCAGGATAGAAGCATAATGAATACATGCTTGTAAAAAAAAAATCCAGACAACTCAAAACTCACCATCCATATTCTCACAGCACCGATTAAGACTTCTCAGGAGAAATGACTGTTTGCTAGAAAGAATAAAATAAATATGAGAGACTTGGTAAGGAAAAATGCTAATTTGTGTGAAAAGGCATAAAGTTGACCTGAGGGTGAAAATATCAGTAGTGTAACCTACTTCAGAGAGTTGTTGTGAGGATAAAATAAAGGAGAGATGAAAGTTGTAACCGACTTTGGATTCCCAGTGGGCAAAAGGTGAGGGACAATTGAAGTAAATAAAGAAACAAACTGAATGCACTGTAAAACCTGATTTATGTCCTTTATTTATTTACATTATTTATAGTCTGCCTTTCTCACAGGGACTCAAGGAAGATTGCACATAGTGAGTCAGTACAATCGACAGAATGGGACACTCGATAATCAATGCATTAGGATTTTAGAAGTCTGGAAGCACCAGAAAGAACTGAAGTATAGCATAAATATTCACTTGGCACATTAAGCGGCACAGAAATCACATACATAGAATCCTACTTAACAATAAGCTTCACAGAGCAGTATGGACCATGGTCCCTAATCATTTATCCAAGCAAGACTGTAAAACCATTTTGTGCAGTGCAACCCTATTAGCTGCACAGAAACACCCTCTTGCATAGTTTAATTTTGCACAGTTTGCGGAAAGCTTTCCTGACTTCCTCAGGCAGGCCATTCCATAAGGTGGGAGCCACAACAGAGAAAGCGTGTGTACAGGAGTTACTGATGGTGCCCATTTGCAGGCTGGCACCCGCATAAGCCCCTGCTGACTTGAGTGAAGTGAAATAAGTAGTTGTGGAAGAGCATAGGGAGAGCAGGGGCCAAGGCCATGAAGGTTTGATTGCATTTTGCAACTGCAGCAGCTGTTTTCTTAGGTTAAATTGCATAGTAAACTAACTGTACAATGATTTGGGCCATTCTTCCTGTTTCAGTGCCTTGTATATTGTTCACAGACATTTATATTTAATTGCCATAAATCATGATTACATCAGCTTAGAAATTAATCTGATTTGCAATATTTTATATACTCTCTCTTTCATGCAGTTATATCAAATGAATATGTAATAACCTGCCAAGTATTTGACCAGACTGATGATCTTTTAAAAAAAAAAAAAAAGTTCCAAACTCACTCAAATCCCCTCCATTAAGGGGCATCGCTCATGTAGAAAACATGCAATGTGGAAAGCAGCTATAAGTGCAATTTTGAGGCTCCATACGCGAAACGCAGGAAGAAGGCAGAGGGGAGCCATTTTTCGTAAAAGGTTTACATTTTAAATAGGCATTGCAATATGATGTACTTTACAGGAATGACCCAGTAAGCTTACGGGTCACCTCGCATGATCATGCCAGTGTTCTCCCCCCCGGGACGGCAGTGCACCGGGGCTTTCCTCATTTCCTCACCACAAAGAGACAGTCACTGACCAACCCACCCTGGTTAGTAGAAATGCCAGCCTCCAGGTGGACGCTGGAAATCTCCCATTACCACGGATCTCCAGAAGTAAGTTCTGCTGGACAAAATGGTAGCTTCGGATGCCGCCGCCACATCCTCAGAAAGTTCCCAACCCAGAACTGGCACTCCTACTTGACAGGTCGCGGCCTTCGATGACCGGCCCTTACTGACTCCCCACCCCCACGTTCTCTTTCTATGGAGGAATCCCGTCTCCCGCCCAAACCTCTGTCCTTCCCCCTAAAATCAACCCCCTTTCCTGTAGGAGAAACTGCGACCTCCTCACCTCTGTAGTCCGCAGCCGCCCGCTCACCACTGTCCCGTCGCCCGAATCTCCCGCCAACATTCTAATTCTGGCCCCGCCCATCTCCCTCTAGGCCACGGCCCCTCCTGCGCTTGTGGAATCCAAGAAACTGCACGACCGGAAGAAGAAATCATCCCCCACGTCCTCTCAACTGCGCATGCGTCCGCAGCAACCCTTTCCCCCAAATATACGTTCCCCCCGAAAACGCCATTTCCGTCGTCCAGAGGGCAAAATATGCTCCTCGCGCCTTGTCGCTGGGAGACGAGGCGCGAGGAGTGGTTTTGGCTCCAGCGGGGCCGGGGAGCGGATATTTAAAGAGATATGCCCGGTGGCGCCCGCGCTCTAGGTGCCCCCCCCACCGGCGCCCCCCCCCCCCACGAAAACTTCCCCGTCTCCTCTCAGCTCTGCCGGCTGCCCCTGAGTTCCTGAGGACGGCGGCGGGCAAAATGTCCCCCCCTCCCTGAGCTCCGGTGTGGTCGTCGGCGACTCCTCGTGGCCGAGGGCCTTGCCGGTCCCTTTCAATGTTGGGGGTGCCGCTGGAGGTGGTCCTGGGGGGCGGGGCGCAGGGAAGTCCCCCTCCCTGTCTTCTCTTCTTCGGGGACCACCCCCCACCCCCTCCCGGAACGGCTCACCGCGGCCCCTGGCTGGGACAAAGGCGGACCTGGCCACCCTTCGTCTAGGCAAAGCCCCCAATTGCCCTTTCGCTTTCCCGCGTTGCCCTTGCTGCGCTCCTTCGGTTAGCCGGGCAGGACCCTGTCGGGAGATTACCGGCGGAGTCCGCTTCAAGACGCTGCTCCCACCAGCCCCAGGCTGTAGCCCTTTCCCTGCTGCCGGCCGGGAGACTAGTCCTCCTCCACCCGCTTTCGCGGTCTGGATTTCCCTCCCTCACCCGTTTCCTCCTCCTCCGGTTTGTCTCCCTCGCTCCGTGCCGTCCGCTCTGCTAGCCTCGGGGGAAATCGGTCCCGGCGTCGGAAGGGGGGCGGACTCTGTGAGTCTGTTTGCGGGTGCGCGCCTGGGGTCGCCTGGAGGGCCTGGGGGGGGGGGCGCACGCCTCGCTGTTTTTGCACTGTCTTTGCCTGTGCAGTGTGAGCTTTTGTATACACACTTCTTCAGATACAGTGAAACAGAATTTCCTCAGCCTTTACATATAGGAGGACTACATATAGGAAGACAGTACATATAGGAAGCCCACCCGGGCGGGGTATAAATATAATTAATTAATTAAATGAATAATAAATAGAACACCTTTAGAGCCCAGAGCCGCACCTTTAAGACCAACAGTTTTGTACAAGGTGTGAGCTTTTGTGTATAAACACACTTCTTCCGATACAGTGAAACAGAATTTACTCAGCCATTACATATAGGAAGACAGTACAACAGCTTTAGAGTCCAGAGCTGCACCTTTAAGACCAACAGAGTTTTGTGCAAGGTGTGAGCTTTTCTGTACAAACACACTTGTTCAGATGCAGTGAAACAGAATGTCCTCAACCCTTACATATAGGAAGACAGTATACAGTGAAAAAGATACATTGAAAAAGAATTTCCCCAACCCTTACAGTAGAAAAGCTTTAGAGTCCAGAGCGGCACCTTTTAGACCAATAGAGTTTTGTGCAAGGTGTGAGCTTTTGTGTACAAACACAATTCTTCCGATACAGTGAAACAGAATTTCCTCAGCCATTACATATAGGAAGACAGTAGAACAGCTTTAGAGTCCAGAGCGGCACCTTTAAGACCAACAGAGTTTTATGCAAGGTGTGAGCTTTTGTGTACAAACACACTTCTTCAGATACAGTGAAACAGAATATCCTCAACCCTTACATATAGGAAGACAGTAAAACAGCTTTAGAGTCCAGAGCGGCACCTTTAAGACCAACAGAGTTTTGTGCAAGGTGTGAGCTTTTGTGTACAAACACACTTCTTCAGATACAGTGAAACAGAATATCCTCAACCCTTACATATAGGAAGACAGTAGAACAGCTTTAGAATCCAGAGCGGCACCTATAAGACCAACAGAGTTTTGTGCAAGGTGTGAGCTTTTGTGTACAAACACACGTCTACTGATACAGTGAAACAGAATTTCCTCAACCCTTACATATAGGAAGACAGTAGAACAGCTTTAGAGTCCAGAGCGGCACCCTTAAGACCAACAGAGTTTTGTGCAAGTTGTGAGCTTTTGTGTACAAACACACTTCTTCAGATACAGTGAAACAGAATTTCCTCAGCTATTACATATAGGAAGACAGTAGAACAGCTTTAGAGTCCAGAGCGGCATTTTAAAACCAAAAGATTTTTTTGCAAGGTGTTAATTTTTTCCCCCCCCCCCCCCCGCGTCCTGTTGCTGTGTGTGGTGAACGGGGGGGGGAAGGGCCGTCGGCGCTTGCCTGCTTGCTTGGGGTCTGGGCTGCAGATGCGGTGTGGGTCGTGCGGTGGGGCAAGGGTGGCCGTGTGTTCTCTGGCAGCTGGGAGGGGAGGGGCGTCGTGCCTTGGGACTGCCTGGATGTACCTTTCCCGGGCGCAGTCCATCTTCATCCCATGCAAATCCGTGGCTGGCTAGAGTGAGATGAGGCTTGACTCCCTTGGGAGGGCTTCCTGATCCCGCCTCCCCACTCCCCAGATGTGATGAGCTGCCTTTGGCTGCTGTACGGCAGTAGGGCACAATGGCTAAAGGATTGGGTCTCCCTTGGGGGGGGTAAGAGCGAGGGGGACAAAAGTCAAGAAAGAGAGAAGATCCCGCTGCAAGACAGAGCTCAAAGTGCTTCTTCCTTCCAGCCATAGCTTTGCCTTGCAGCCTCCCCTCCCTTTGTTAAAAGCAATATATATTGGCCCTTCTCCCCCATTCTAGCGCCTGCCTTCTCCCTTGAGTGGATGGCATTAGACTGCAATGTGAAGCACCCTGCTTGTCTCGATTGATGCATTGATCTACCAATTTCGTTTCATTGAGTGTAAGGTGATTCACAGCTCAGGTAATGCCTATGATAGGATACACTCAGTGCAGATTGGGGGGGGGACTATGGAAGGGGAAATGTCCAACTCCAGGTGCTCTCAGATCACTTCCATCGTTGTTTGCTTTTATTTGCCTGACTTGATGCACAAAGAAGGATTAAGAATAAAAGGGAGGCAGTAAAAATCTGCATAAGATATACAACCAATATCGCACCAAAAATACCCTACAATAAAGACCATAGTGCAGGAGTTACAAGATTGGGAAGCAGTGCAGGGAACTGTTAGATCCTGTCCAATAAAAAAGTGGATCACAAAATTAAAAAACAATGCAAGAAATAACCCAGCATATAATGCATCGAGGCGTCTGCTTTAAATTAAAGATTAAATCAAAGCATTAAGGCTCATCTTTTGAGAAGCCTAAATTCTTATTAAATGAGTTATTAGAAATAAAGATTATCTCTCATCCCAGTCCCAGAACACTCCTGCTACACCTTGGGGCTGTCATTCCAGTCTGTGGTCTCTCATTCCAGTCCCTGAACACTCCTGTTCCCCCCTGGGGCTGTGATTCCAGTCCGTGGTCTCTCATTCCAGTCACAGAACAGTCCTGCTAAACCCAGGGGCTGTCATTCCACTCCGTGGTCTCTCATCCCAGTCCCAGAAAACTCCGGCTACCTCCAGGGGCTGTCATTAGACTCTGTGGTCTTTCATTGCAGTCCCTGAACACTCCTGCTACACCCTGGAGCTGTCATTCCACTCTGTGGTCTCTCATCCCAGTCCCAGAAAACTCCTGCTACCCCCAGGGGCTGTCATTAGACTCCGTGGTCTTTCATTGCAGTCCCTGAACACTCCTGCTCCACCATGGGGCTGTCATTCCACTCTGTGGTCTCTCATCCCA